TATTTTTATGCATATTTTTAATTATTCACATATATTTATTAGTGAAATTTTCCATTAATATTAATGGTATTATTACTATTATTATTACTATTATTATTATTATTATTATTATTATTATGCAAATTGGATTCTTAAAAGAAATTGTTGTTGAGTATCGATCATAATAGTATAATAAGATAAATACGTACAAAAAAAATGAATGAATTATTTCGAGCCCATATATTGTTGATTCTATTAAAATAATTAATTTGAATTTTGTGTAAAGCATACCTTTAACATTATATATATATAAATTGTTATTTTAATAATATAATTCTCTCTAGGAACTCTCTTTAAAAAGATATATGTTTTCCGATAAATTATTAAATAAGAAAAACACAGACAAAATTTGCCACCTATTTCTATCAACTTTTCTAATAGCAACAACAATTGGTAAGGTTATTATTATTAGCAACAATGTTATAACAATTTCTTTTTTTAATCGTTCGATAAAGTGATTTAACGTATATTAAAATCTTCTGTATTTCATTGAGATTATGAATACTCTAGAATGTCTATTATTTTACAATAATGTTAAAAACAACGTAAAAGTTGTTTGATAAGACTAGATTGGTTTGATGCGTGATGTTAACTTAAACAATATGTACTATAGTTTATATAATTGTGAAATCCAACTTCTTTTCTTTTTCTTTTCACCTACCGATGAAACACTACTACATAAAGCTACGTAACTTTCGCAGAATTTCAATTTCAATAAATCTTGTACTCGCAAAAACAATATTTAAATCAATTTTATATACAATTATAATAACTACTTTGTGATTATACCATTAAAAGTCTAAATGAGCAATTGGGGAGGGAACTTACGATTATAAAAATTAACTAATTCAGTAATAGTAACTTAATTGAGTGTGCGCAAAAAATATTTTTGTACAGTTAATGCATTCTTAGATTTAGATAACATAGTCATTAAGTGCTTCCTTAATATACTTATGAATTATATTAAATGAATAGAATATTAGTAATTCGTTATCTAAAAATGATAGTATCTCTAATATTTATTTATTTATTTAGTACCTTTTTTCTGCATAATATTATATTCTTTATGAAGTGAAATTATATAAGATCTTGTAATATAAATGAATTTCCGTTTATAAATGTATTGATTTTATATATAATGTGATCGAGTTTAAATGAATATAATTATTATTATTATTATTTTTTGACTTTTCGCATGAGAGATTATAATAAATAGGGTACAACAAGTGTCAAGAATTATTAAAAATCGTTTTTAAAAAAATCATACTAAATATTGAACCTACGTACCCTTTTAGCCTTTTTCTCTTAACAAGTTTACATTGCTTTGGAACATTGCCTTTGTTAAAAGGGCTTGTATTATCTAATTATTAACTAATGCTTTACTTAAGATCACCAATACATTTTGTATCGATTCGGTATCATCACATCTTTTAATTGGAAGATTAGATATAACGAGATAAATAATTTCAATTGAATTTTTCTTCTTTAAATACCAAATCAATCGCATTACCAACGTGATCAACAATGAAAGCTGGTTTACATAGACCATCCTCTATTGGTAAAAAATCTCTAGGACTGTGTTCGTTAATAAATTGGGAATCTCGTTGATGTACACCAGTTTCAACTAAAATACTGATACACGCTTTTGCAGTAGGCCCTTTCATAGTTTTACCTAACAATTTTTCTAAACTACGTGATTTAGTACCACCGCCAGCTTCGTAACGTGATAAATACTTGTCGTAAAGATTTGCACCAAAAATGTCTGTATTAATGTTATCTCTATAAACAGAATAAAAATATATATATATATCATTGAATATAAGAAATACGTAATATATACACATAATAAAATAAATAAATAATAAATCTTACCCAATAGCATAAATAGTATCAACATTGTGTTCTATTCCAATGCTTTTAGCATGTTCCAGTAACATATTACTCGCGTGATAATATGTTATTTCATTAGGTTTACCAACTAATGCAGTATACAATAATTCTTTACCCGTTACTTTTTTGTACAGTTGTTCGAGACACAATAGAAAAGCACCATGGCCGTACCTAGGAATTGGTGCTTCAGATACCCATAATAAATCCATATTACATGCCAATACTGGAATGTGTGGATATGGAATGTCTGTTGGCAATTTACTGGGCATTCCATTGGTCATTAAAAGATCCACTATTAATTGTAATGGAGTTTCCCAAGATATTGGTTCACTGAATAACACGATACCTTCTATTCTTGGAAAATTTGGATCTACGGGTCCGCTCTGCGGATTTCTTTTCAATACATTTATGTAATCCAAACTTGGAAAATTTTTAACTAATTCATCGATCGTGGTTGTATTTTTGAAACCTAATTCTTTGGCTATTTCTCTGACCGGTCCTTGTCCCGATATAAGAACTTGCTTGTCATGAAGTTTGTTAAACATTTGCAATGGAGAATGAGCTAGGATAACTTGTGACTCGGATATTTCAAATCCAATCCATTTGGACAAATCGGCTGCTTTTTGACTGCGCAATGAATTTCCACTATTTGTGACAAATACAGTAGGTACGCGAAATTTATTATCATCTCCTCGAAGTTTTTTAAACGCTTCAGCAACCGGTGGTAATACATTTTTTCCTCGTACTATAACTCCGTCTATGTCGAATATTAAACCAAATTTTGGATTAGAACTTAGATTCTGTAAAATGAAAACAATACAAAATAAATGAATACATTTTATATAACATCTTAGAAATGTTTCAAAATTATTAACGCATGTTGCATTATGTTTATAACATATACTTTATGTTATAATATGTTTTATAAATGCATTTCAATGTCACCAAGCAGTTATAAAAATATACTTACCTTGTTAATATAGATAAATAGGTAAGTATATTTTTATACCAAATGACGAAATACATATTGTATATATATATACATATATATATTTGTGTGTGTGTGTGTGTAAAAAAAAACATGGTATGATCAAAGTCCAAAATATCCATGCATATTTTTATTAAGAACAAAAGATAATAGATTTAAAAACTTGAAAGAATTAAATAGGTCATTACCAGTAATTCTATTTGTGTTATATTATCTATAACTTTATTAGACATTTATTACATTACAATAGTGTTACAAAACAAATGCTACATATATTAAAATGCAATAATAGAAAAACAAAAGAGGACAAGTATAAAAAAAAAAGAAAGAAGAAAAAAGACATTCTACTTGCATTAATATAAAATAGAAAAGATTAATAACATAATGGTGCATAAATGAAGACAAAAACATGAATATTATAGAATAATATAAATAACAAATAATTCCAAATAATATTATAAAAATAGCGACTTTTATTTTCCATCATTGATTGACTGAAACATTTTTCGCGACGCGACACAATGGTAGAAAATTAAATTGAAATAAAGAAACAATTGAATTGAAGTGCATTTTAAAAATGAATTATTAAAAAAAAAAAAAAAGGGGGATGAGTGTGGGAGGATGACAAAATAATTAAATATGACAATGTAAACTTACTCTGACTCCGAAAGCTCTTGCAATACCCGATCGTAATAATATTTTCATAATTACCAATTAAAATCACAACAATGAGAAAAATTATTTTAAAATGCGTGCTTATCAGTATTTCAAAAATAATAGTTGTATTTTTTTTTTTTATTATTATTATTATTATTATTATTATTTTTATATACGTGTTGTTTTAACTCTCAAGCACTTAGTTACGCAAATGTATAATGCATAATGCCAAAGCGTTTTGAGGTTATAGACCATCTAGAAAATCAACTAAACTCACCCTACATTGTGCATAGTAGTTTTCACGGGTACCGTAAGAGTGTATCTTTTTAATATATATACAAGAAATGTTGATCGAATACAGCGACAATTTGTTGGTAAAATGTTTTTCAAAGAAAAACTTTTCTATTACAGATAATGCAGAACAAAAGAATATCGTTATGGTAAAACAATTGAAAGAGGACTAATAAATTTGGTATAGTAAATGCAGTTTTATAAGCACAATGTGTTTTACATCAAAAAAGAATGATATTTGTTATACTTTTTGGGTAAGTTGTTTGAATATTATTGTTCATTTTAATACGTTGAGATTGTGTGTGTACGATTTTAATATAAAAATTATAAAATAATATAGTAGGGTTGATTATGAATGACCCACGTGGTGTCCCCATTAAATGAATAACATTGAAACAAACATTGGTCTAGGATGATCAACGTTATCAGTCAATGTGTTAACTAATATTTTGATTTTAGATTGTACTGCATCGATCAATCCCAATCCATCTTTAAATCAATTTTATGATGCATTTATTTTTTATACATGTTCGCACATGTATATATGTGATATTTGATTATATATTGTTACCAATGAAATAATATTATTCAAAATATGTAATAGATTTGTAAGTACAATATGATTTATATATTGTTATTATTCATACATTTTTTATGTTATATTATTAAAAAAAATATATCACACACAAAGTATATTGAACTTTAAAGCAATTAAATTATTGATTAATTGTTACAGGTTATTTTCACAAGTGGACATTATGCATATATAATAATTATGCTTCAATTAATAAAACCCCATAATGCATACAAAAAGAAACTAACGGATAAGATATAAAAAGAAAATCAATAAAAGGTATTACAAACAAAAGACTACATTTGTAAGTATTGAAAAATGCATGATTCTATTTTAAAAAAATTATCACAAACTTTGCATCTTCTACGTATTATCATCTAATAAAAAATCAAACAACTTGTACATCAAACATTTCATCATATCATCAATATTGTAAGAATTATACATGTGGCCAATTTTAAATGAATAATTGGAACTAATTAAATTCTTAAAATTGCAGGAACATGATCAGATTTTGTCTCTTATTAATTACTTCTTAATTATTTATGTTATTTCATATTATTATTTTACAAGTATTGCAGAGGGAATAGAAAATAAAAAATCAGAAGAAAAAGATGAATAAGAAGAATAAGAAAAGGAAGAAGAAATGAGAAGTTTCCTTAAATAGCATTAAAATAACATTATTATAAATCTTCAAAAGATTTTTCCATAAACATGTCTCTTTATTATCATACATGAGAAAACACGGGTGATTTTCGATGAGGTCGGTGGTGGGTGCGATATTTAAAGGGTGTTTTTACATACACGCTAAACAAACACACTTACACGAGTTACATCGTTGTTGTGTCGTCGTTCTCTTGTCCTTCTTGTAAGAAAAGTAAAAAAGGGCTTATGTGCTCTTCTTTTTTTCTCTTCGTCAAATATATACGAAATCCCCGTTATAGTTTATTGCGAACGATATTTGAAATTTTACTCTGTAGTAAAATTCAAGAAAATACGAAAAATGTGTAACGTGATTTGCGTACTTCAATATGGCGGACATAATGGTGATCTCTTCTTTAAAGTTACAATTTTTTTTTTTTTAATTAGACCGACAAAATTCACGTTTCGTTATAATATTGTCTCTTATTTCTCTCTCTCACTCTCTCTCTCTCACTCACTCACTCTCTCTCTTTGTCTTTCAATTTTGTTTCTTTTTCGTTTTTTTTTTTTCTTCTTCTTCTTTTTTGCGAAGGTTCCTCTTTACTTTCGACACATTCTTACGTGATTTTTTTTTTGTTACGAATAAGAAAATGACGTCGATTGATTTACATAATTGCGATTTACATTAATCTCTTTACGAACAAAAATGATGTGCACCGATAGGAACGCTTCGAATTTCATTTCGAATAGACACTCAAATTAATTTACTTGTTAATATAATCAGAGTTGGGTATAATTGTTACAAAAATTAGACTAAAAGAACAAATGACGAATCAAATGTTATTAGTTTGTTCATATTTTTAGTGCCTGAGAACAAAATCTTTCTTATTTTATTATCACGATGAAATTGTTTTTTTTTTTTTCTTACAATTACAAATAATTATTAATTTTCTCTATCGATATATTATTACAAAGATATTTATTCTCTGTTTTTTTTCTTTTTTATAATTATATTATGACTAATAATGGATATTAGGTACAATGAACAAAGCTTATACAAATAATATTAATAACGAATACACACACACACACACACAATTTTATTCAAATAAATTAATAAAAATTTAATAACGAATAACTATACCCAACTCTGAGAATCACGTTAATTCGTACTAGTACGGACGAATCATCTTAATTGTTATTTCAATATCCTTTTTTTTTTAAATTCATTATTTATATATCTCTTTTTTTCTTATTATATTATTATATTATAATAATTATTATTCGCGTATTCTCTCCTTCTTTTATTATTCTTACAATTAATTAATATTAATATTATTAATATTATTAATAGATTGTTTCGTCCTCTTTAACCACTTATTATTATTATTATTATTATTATTAATAATCCTGTTATTCTCTTCAACAGAACATTATATTAAATATTCTTTCCATAGACATTATGATCCTACTCACATGATTATAGTTACAATTACCGTTATCCTTATTATTATTTCTATAATACCTATGACGAATATATTCTTATTACCGAGATGACAAATATATTTAAAATATCGAATATTTGTCTTTATAATTGTTAGCTATGAATTAACGTTATTTTTTTTTACCCTGGCACATTATTTGTATTTTCTATGATGGTTGTTGAATTATCGAAATATTGTATATAGTATATTATGTGTTCGAAATAGTTGGTGGTGCATACGAGATTTTCGATGACAAATTGATATTCATTTCAAATAGATTTTGTTTTTAGTTTGTTACTACAATTGTTGTTTGTCAATGTTGTCGTTGCTATTTCGATTATTACTATTAATTACTATTACTACACTACTACTACTACTATTACTATTACTACTGCACTACAATTACAAATAATCCTATTAAACATTGCACAGTAATCACTATTTTATATTTCTATACTTATCATTTATAAATTACCACCATTGTTATCATTACAAATCATTTCCATTGTCACAGTCGTTGTGGTTTAACATTTTAACGTAATCATTATTTTTATACAAAACTAGTCAAGTGACAGGCATTTCAAATCAATATTTTATTTTGAAAGAAAGAAATAAATAATTGACGAGAAAAAATAAATAATTATTAGAATGTACAAAAAAAAAAAACAGGAGATTATTATTTTCTATTTAGAATAAAAATCTTTTAAGAAAATTTCAAGCAATCTATATAATACGTTGTAGATCTTATTTTCATTTATTTATTGATCATTTATTGATCATTCGTTAACTGGAAACGATTATTTTGTTATAAATAATTCGACTCAATCTTGTACATACAGAATTGTACACGAATATAATATCTGCGTATTTTTTTTTCTTTCTCTTCTTTGTTTTTTTTTTTTCATCTTGTACTTTTCATAATTGTAATTCACTTATAGACCATTTGGCATTCGTCATTGTAATAATTTGTTACTATACAGTTTCATATTTGTACATGTAATATTGTATATATATATATGTACGTATATAGGGTTGAGCCAAAATTCTTGGTACAAATGAGATCTGAGAAATAATAAAGTTCAAAATGATAAAAAAAGTGTAAATTAAGAATAACGAGAAATCTCTTAATTAAATTTCTTAATAAATTGCAATAAAGAAAACGTCAATCCAATACGTGTGCATCTTAATTAATGTTACAGATTTTATTACAGATATTGTTTCTTATTAAAAAATAAGTAACACTAATAAAATTGACTATAAAATTCGTGAAAGAATCGTAATATGATGAAATAAATGATATTCTCACACGGAATAAAAGTATCCTTGTACTTTTCAATATAATACACCTCATCGTGTTCCTTGATAATTAACATTCTAATAATAATAAACACAAATAATCTAATATATAAAAATAGATATAATAATAACAATCTGTCATAAAATTTGTAACGCCAATCAACAAATAATGATGCACAGATTAATTGAATTGCATACAATCATTAGATTGTATGATTTTTGATATTGCAATTTATTAAGAAATTAAAAACATTCTAATTATATTTATATACAAAATGATTTATATTTAATTTTATAATATTACTCTCTGATCTCTTATAACTACCAAGAATTTTAGCTACACCATGTGTATAAGAACATGGGAAAAAGAAAACAAAAAGAAAAAGGTGTTGAAACAATGTTGTTGTTGCAGGATTGTTCATAGTAGGGTTTCCTGGGAATAAAATCGCGAAGACATCTCATCAGCGGATGTCCAAAGTATGGTCGATGATTGGGTCAATTTAAACGTTATCGCGGAAATGGTAGCTGATCTTTGCAATTGTTTGCAATTTCTGTTATCTATTACCGCCATCGTAGGGTCGTTTGCGGGGGAATCCGGTCAGCCCCCGTCGTACAATTCTCAGCAGGAACATTCCTCCTGCCTAGGTAACTCGTGTCCAAGAGAATCCTATGATGAATATGAGAAATAAATGAAAAAAAAAAACAAAATGACGGGATATGATCAAGATGAAGAGAAAAAAGATAATGTTATGGCATCGTGTACGAAATAAAAAGGGCGGGGAGAGGGGGCGCGGGGGAGGGGGCCTTTTTTCATCAAATTTTCTAATCAAATCTTATTCATTCCATTTGTAATAGACTTTAAATTATTTTTTGTTTGTTTGTTTGTTTGTTTGTTTCTTAGTTGTATATTTTTAAACAACAAAACAAAATGGTTAGGAAAGTTCGAGTTAATTGGCGTTACTGAGAAAATTTTTGGGATCATTTTTAAAATGACAAAATGTATGGATCATCTGTGTTTACCTTGGTCAATTCAATACTTCCAGGTGTGCTGGAACGTTGCGGTGGTGCGGAAAATGGTATCTTCTCGTAATGTATCGTGCCACGATACAAAGTGCTTGGATCTAAACTCAGTGCAGCCTTTAATGTACTTTTTTTCAATATACCATTAACATTGTTAACGTTAGTATGTAAAACGATTCGATTTGGAGAACAGGTACGTGTGTTCGGTGTTGAATTACTCGTTGTATCTGTCGACGTATTAGCCGGTACAACTGCCATTGAATCGGAATTAGTATCGGTAGTTGTAGTACTTTCATTCCCATTTTTTCTATCTGCCGCTAAATCCGTTCCATCACTGTTTTCGCTGAAACGATCATCTTGATCATCGGGTGGTTCGTTTCCGTTATCCGAAAGTTCAGACATTTCTTTCGTCTCGTCGTTCATCCTAAACGTTTCGTTACGTTCGTCCTAAAAACAAAACAAAAACGAAAATTAAATGAAATATTATTTTGTATATTATTATATCATAATCGATGATTATATTATTATATTATTATATATTATATCATAATAATATAATATTAATAATAAATAATATAATAATA